ATAAATATATATTTTAAACAGTTTTATTGACATATAATTCACATGCCAATACAATTCACCCATTTAAAGGGTATTATTTAGAGGCTTTAGAATATTCAGTTTTGCATCATCACAATCAATTTTAGAATATTTTGATTACCTCAAAAAGAAATTCCATACCTCTTAGCTATCACCCACCAAGCTCTCCATTCCTTCTAGCTCTGCTAACAACCATTAATCTACCTTGTCTCCAGAGATTTGCCCATTCAATCTTTCATGTAAATGAACTCACACAACACATGATCTTTTGTAAGTGACTTTTTTTCACCTGGAATAATGTTTTTAAGAATTATCTGGGTTGTACCATGTATCAGTACTTTGTTACTTTTTATTTCTGAATAATATTCCATTGAATTGACAGATCATGTTTATTTATCCATTCATTCAGTCAGTGGTTTCTGCTTTCTGATTATTATGAATGCTGTTGCTATGAATACTCATGTACCAGTTTTAGGGTAAACATATGTCTCTTGTATATATACATAGGAATAGAATTGCTGGATGACATTGAAACTCTATGTTCAGACTTCTAATGAATTGCTATGTGTTTTCCAAAGTGGTTGCACTATTTTACATATCTTTCAACATTGAATAGGGTTCTAATTTCTCTACATGTTCACCATCACTTATTATCGTCTTTTTATCTATCTTTTTTATTTTAGCCATTCTAGTGGGTGTGAAGTGGTATATCATGGTGGCTCTTGATTTGCATTTTTAATTACTAATATGCTAGCTTTTTTGGTGCTGTCAAAATACCTGAGAAAAACAAAGGAGAAAGGATTTATTTTGACTCATGGTTTTAGAGGCCCCATGGTTATGAACTTGTGGTAAGGCAGAATATCATGCATGGCATGGAGCACATAGTAGAGCAGATCTGCTTATCTCATGGCAGTCAGGAAGCAGAGAGAGTTGGAGGAAAGGGCCAGGGACAAAATATACCCATTAAGAACACCCTCCCAGTGACCTACCTCCTCCAATGAGGCTCCACCTCCTAATATTGTCACAGACTGGTGATCAATCCTTTTGCACATGGCCTTTAGGGGAAATTTTAGATCCAACTATACAAACTAATCATCTTGAACATCTTTTCATGAGCTTATTGGATATTTGTACATCATCTTATCCCAAGTGCTATTTTTGTAACTTCAGAATAAAAATAATAACTTCAAAATAAAAAGTTTTAAAAAGTTATTAATGATACCTATATTTCTAAATGGTTAAGTGCTCCAATATATTCAATAAAAATTTCAGGGCTAAGAATGTAGCTCAGTGGTAAAGCACTTACTTTGCATGTGTAGGGCCCTAGCATCGCCATGAAAGAAAAAAAAAAACTCTTTCAAATTTTCAGATAAATTCATAATACACAAACACAGAAAAAGAGTTAATTATTTTCCAATTCTCTTAACTAAGTACAAGGAAACTCAAGACCTTTTTAAGAATATATTCTAGTTAAGAATATAGTGACAGGACCTGGGTAATAGCTCAGTGGTGGAGTACTTGCCTAGCACGTGTAAGGCACTGGATTTGATCCTCAGCACCACACATAAAAAAAATGAAGGTATTGTGTCCACCTTAAAAAAAAAAAGAAGAAGAAGAATATAGTGACTATCTGGGTATGATGGTATGTGCCTATAATCCCAACTACACTGGAGGATGAAATGGGAGCATGACTTGAGCTCATGAATTCAAGACCAGCTTGGGCAACCCAGTGAGACAACATTTAAAACAAAAACAAACAAACAAATAAAACAATAAGAGTGTAATAAATGCCAATTAAAATCTTTAGGCCAAGTTTGAATTTGATGAACAATAGGGCAAAGGCAAAAATATCAAAACAAAATATTTTTTTTAGAAAAAAGTGAGCTCAGATTTGGTTTCAGATCTCTCAGTTTAATTTTGATTTTCTTTAAAAAAATTTTTTAAAGTATTTATTTATTTTTTTTTTGTTTTAGTTGGACACAATACCCCTATTTCCTTTGTTTTTCTGTGGTGCTGAGGATCGAACCCAGTGCCTCACAAGTGCAAGGCAGGTGCTCTATCACTGAGCTCCAGCCCCAGCCCCTAAGAAATTTTTAAACCAACTGACATGCAAAAACATTAAAAGTGTACAAATTAATGTGTATCTTATACATTTTGGTTTTCTTTCTTATTTATTTATTTTAACTAAGGTTTGAATCCAGGAATACTCT